GAGCCCTTCTATATGTGCTTAACTAAACTAAACTAAACTAAATTTTCAGGTATCTAATGGCCTTGGCCTTGCTGTGCAAAATTTTGAAAATTTGCAAATTTTTTTTCAAAATCTGGATTGCAAAATTATTATGCAAAATCTGTCGAACCGATTTTGATGAAATACATAACACGAACTTTTCTTGAGCCAAGTATAAATGTCCTATACCCAATTTAAACACCCCAAAAAAATTCCCTAAAAAGTATTGTTTTTAACCCCATTTTTGCGATTTTTTCGATTTTTACCATAATAATCATGATTCATTCGATTTGTAACTAGTCATGTTTTGTAAAAAATTTAATTACAAACATTTTTTTCCTCTTCCATTTTAGCCTAAAATCAACTCTTGAAAAGATACATAATGAAATACGAAGAAAAATATGACATTTTTCGATTTTTTTTAACATATTGTGCCGCCAAAAGTTAAGCCCCCGTTTTTTTTATGCGCATAGAAAAATATTCATTTCTAGTGATATTTGAAAGCCAAAATGCCAAAAATCTCCGTGGATATACGATTCACCCAAACCAAAACAGATACCGCCTAGTCTACTAGGAGTATAACAAGATCAAAAACAACTTAATATGGAAGATTTAGAAAGAAAGATATGGCACCTGAGATTCGAGGTTCTAAAAACTCCCGGGAAACTACAACGTATTGCTCTTTAAAGGTCTTCAAATCAAACGTGCGACCTTTACCGATAGTGGGTGCTGTTTGATCAGTCACTACTCACTCACCGACAAGTGTCACGCTAAGATAAGATTTAGTGGATAAGGCGAAATTCCATATTAAAACCCTGGAGATTTGGAATAACTTCATCGAAGGATCATAGCGGAGGGAAAAAGAGCACTTGGCAAAAGTGTGCACTAAAGGGAACTTCTTCTCCTTTAGGAACCATATATCACTCTTGTCCCTAGTTTTATCAAATATTTACATGGGAGCCTTCGAGAAGAAAGCAACTCGGCAACTATGAAGCTTAACTGTTGTTTCAGATATGTTGACGATACATTAATTATCTGGCTCATGCTGATAATAAGCGATTCTAGAACCACACCAATGAAATACATCCGAATATAAGCTTTACACTGTCATTGCTAAATGTCTTTGTCAAGAGGAAACGGACGGAAGCCTTGGGCACATTTACAGATAGCAAATCCACATGGATACGAAATATTGTCAATACTTTAGTACACAGAGCATTGAGCCTTTTGCTGGCTCGAACACTTGGACGACGAATACAGCATCTCCGACCTGCTCTTAGAGAAAATGGATACATGAAGAGGAATATTGAATGCGCCATTATAAATATACCTAAGGACAAGGAAAATGAGGAATATCTAGCATTTATCTAACCCATGTGCATAGAAGTACTGACAAGATAGGCTGCATTTTCAGGAAATACAATATTAATAGTCTTTACAACATCTGAAGGAAGTTAGGGGTAGTCTACGACCGATTCCAAAGTCCCGGTGTGTACAGCATCCCGTTTGCATGCCGAAAATATACATTGGACAAAAGTCAGTCTAAAAGAGGACAAATGTTTCATGAAGCATCTTAATCTCCAGTTTTACAGTTGCTTCTGGAGAAGAGAGCGATATTTTATGGCCTAAACCAACCCGAAAATTGTTCAACTGTTCAACTGAAGATGTTTTGTTCTTTGAAAGGTTTAAATAAATTTCTCCCGACTTCAGCTGTTCACGGCATTTTACTGAATCGATAGTTTGTCACAATTCCATTCTCTTCAAAATATACTGATATACCCCAAGATGATTCTAAACGGAGAATAACAAACATGATCTTTTTGACATGATGAAACGTGAATCTATCTATCTATCCTATATATCCAAGACTAGTTTACAGTTTCAAGAAATGTTTGCGGGATTATTGTAAAGGGTTTCCACAAGTTTGTGTAACAATTTTCGTATTCGCTTTTGAATTAGCGTTATTAAATCAGTCCTGTTATTTAATGACTTCCGCTCCTTGTAATTAGCAATTAATTATAACATAATTATGAAAAAAGCAATCCAAAACATGAAGTAACTAACCACTATTTTATCTAGGAACTTTGATATTTCTGTCATCTGAAATGGGTTGCTTTTAAACAATAATCTAATGAAGTGTGTATAAAGTAAAAATTACACAAGTATTTATTTTTAATTTTGATCTAAACGGCACTACCCAGTTTCTTATTTCAGGAATATCGAGACGTCCCGATACAACACATAAAAATTGATTACATTATTTAGATTAGATTATTATGATTTATACGAAATTGCTAAAGCAAATACATAATTATTAATATTCAATATTATTTTGTATTACATAAATGTTTATCATTATTTTCTATTATAATAATTACGGAAGTAAACTTGAACTTATTTCGCAATACGCCCTTGAGTGGAACTTTCTGATGATGAATATAACAGCATTGTGTATTTTTATGATTTTAGATGTTCCCGCAAGGACGAATAGCAGTAATTCGAGATGAGAAAGGTTAGCAGGTGAAAGAAATAGCGCGTGTAAATAGGTAATGACTTTTTTTAAAGTTCTGTTAAAATTATTCTTGATCTTGACCATGTTTAAATCTATACCAAACTATGAAATTAAATTGCCGTGAAAATGGCTGGGATTTTGTCGCCGCAATAAAAATACCTGTTCTCTATCGCAGTATGAAATTTGGTTGCCGCAATTTTGTCAGTTATTGTTATTATTACTGTCACTAACGGAACCTTAAATAAATCTGCTACTTTTAATTATATTTTTGGTCGGTTGTGAGAATTTAAACTAAAGCAGAGTTCAACATAAACGAAACTTGTAATTTGTATGTATTGTCGTTTTTATTTCAATATCATTATCAATAAAAAATTATACAATATCGACTAATTAAGTATGACTATTAATATCCTTTGATTTAGTAAGTTTATTGCCTTAGGGCTCTTACTAAAAGTACGTTATTTCGTGAATAACTTGAAAAGTATTAGGAATTTCAACAAAAAAGGTATGTATGATATTTTTGAGAAAATTGAATTACTTATATATATCCCATAATTTTTCATTCTGAAAATTTGGGATGAAGGTGAAATAATATGGACAGACAAGAGATTCGTAGAACATTAAGGATTTATTACAGCTGGTATGTTTTTTTAAATGTAATTCACAAAATATACACTAAGTTCACCGAGTTATCTATGATAACTCATTTACGTCACTATAAGGACGCTGCGTATCTCGTCGCCACTCGTTTTCATGGAAAAACAATAATTAAACATAAATATTAAAATCTAAATCTTATTCCACAGACTTGTACGCCTCTAACGTTTTAACCTTATCCATTACAGTAACAGGTAATTTTGTAAGTTGCGCAACACACATGCTGTCTTTTAAGGCCTGATCTTATTGTCAAAATCGATGACTGCATTTCTGACATTGAATTACTCACACCTTTTCACATTTGGAGTTCGTTGCCCTAATATCTAGGTAGAAAAGCAATATAATAAATGGAAAGAGAGGTTCTGATCTATCTACAGTATTCGTCTCGGTGTTTTCATTCCTGTCTCTTTTTTCGGTTGTTTCTCAAAATTTTGAAAATGATTGAATGAATTATAATGATTTTTTAATTTCGTAAAGAACGGATTTCAAAGAATAAATCCATATACTATACATATATACAGAGTGTTTCATAACTCACAGAATAGGCAAGTGTAGAGGACCTAAATTATGCCGATTTGTTATTTTTCCAAAAAAATTGTAAGAGTAATTGTAATATTGTCGTTTTTCAAAATTTAACACTCATCTTCAGAGGTCAATATCTCTTCAATGGTATGTATGTATGCATGTCGGAGGGTAGTGGAATTGTTTTTCCACCGCGGCACTTAGGCCTTATTAGACCCCTTGTACACCCTCCTTCATTACTCGAGTACTTTTCTTCAAACCATCCTATTTACTACACGGGTGGCTTGGCGGCAATGTCTCGTACAGTTTATGTATGATAGCATGGTCTTGAGTTACAGAGATTTTCTTTGCTCTGTTCTCATTACCATTTATCGGAGACCACACGCATGCGGCAAATGTTTGGCGACCCAGGTCTCTGGTAGAGTTATGAAACACCCTGTATATATACCTACTAAGATACAATACTTAAATATTTTGTCCGGACTGGAAAAAAAGTGGAGCCAGCGTTTATAGCATAAAAATATGAATGAAATAAAGCACAGGCAAATTTTTGGCGGAATCGATTCATACAAAATACATGTCGCATTTCAGTTGGTTTTATATTGCTAAATATTTGCCCAATTTACTTTAGTTAATTCGTTGTCCTATTAACTTTATAAAAGAGCGTAAAGATCGACTGCCAACTAAGCTCTACTCGCATGATCCCACATAGTTTTCTTAAGGAAGGAATTATTTTTCCCTGTAAAATAGCACATAGAAAGTTTGAAGCTGCCCTTTTTAAACAAACTTTGTATCTTGAATTTTCATCAAGAAACGAAAGAGTAGTCGTGCATTTAGTGCAGCGCCGCTTTGAAATACGTGCTTTTCTGGCTGATTTGCATTTTATGTAAATCCTTAAATATCTTTTAAATAATGCACTGTACGAAAAAATCAGTAGGAACTTTTTTTGTAGAGAATTTTATGCTCTACAACTCTTTGTATGTTATGAATTTCTCAATATTTATCAAGTTATTCACGAAACACTTTTTTGCAGTTTTCCGGCCATTTCTCGGATTTTCCGGGTCCGCTCCCGTTCAAAACAATTTTTTTTTCCTAATCTATTAGCAAAATACCAGTAACATGCAAAAAATTGTCCACTTCGGAATTACTGCCATCTCAAAACCTCTAACAACTGGACTATTATCGATATAAGATTATGATATGACAGCATGATGATGATATTTTGTCATAGTTTTCTTTTGAACTTTTGAATTGAACATTGTAGAAAATTGTTAAATATTTGTATACTAACCGTTTTTAAATCAAATGCCAAAATCTGTGGTGGACACGTCTGTTCTTCTAACAATTTTCCAGTATCCAGCACCCAAAGACGGTCACATTCGTCAACCTAAAAATTATAAATGTTTTTATGTAGTTAGAACAAATTTAAATAAAAATTAATACTTAGATTTATGTAAATAAGCGTTTAGAATTTGCAACATTAATATTTTTTATAATTGAAGTCCTTTTTTTGTGTTCTAGAAGGAAGAAGAAATGAAATATTTAAAAACGTTTTTATAATTAATTCCAAAAGGATCAGTCTAGAGATGTTTTTATAAACATATTTTTGCCTAACCAGGAATGTTGCACACGGAGAAAGATAACAATTGATTTGTTTGAAGATACTGCAGTACCTACGTCATTAGCTAACGTTTCGAACACTTAAACTGACTGAGGGTTAAGATGGTTAATCTCCAAAGTGACTGCCACGTCATCGGTTTCGATATCTTGACATTTTGACACACACACGCACGCACGCACGCACGCACGCATGCACGCACGCACACACGCACCCACACATTACGTGCCTTGTGCTTCCAGCTACTATTGATTTATATAAGTGACAATAAGCAACAGAAAATACATGAGAATAAAGAAAAGTAGGCAATCTGGCAACACATATCTACCCTACTATAAAGAAATATTGAGAAGGTAGGCCTTCCCTTAAAAAAAACACAATATTGACAACATCTATAGCAGTTCACTTGGATCTAAACAATATTATAATTCCAAAAAAAAAGATTCTATCCGAAACTATAGAGAAACAATAGAAATCCAAAAAAGATGAATGTTTCGAACTACCTAGAATTAGGAAATATCAAAGACTGGACCAGTTTAAACTGAAGTACCACGCATCAATGCACCGCACCATTAACTAAAAATACCGGCTAGAGGGCTTAATTTCCAATTTCATAGTTTCTTCTGAACGGCTGGAACAACCAGCCAGACAATTGTTTATCTATCACTATGGAAGGTTACAAACCAAACTGAAAGTTAAGCATGTTTTTTTAATTTCAGTTATTCTGGAGACTGGAACAGTGGCTTCAAACCGAAGTGTTATGTATCAGTACCGGATTAAATAAAAATACCGGCTAGAGGACTTAATATCTAATTTTAGATTTTCTTCTGAAGAAGAGAGAGATATGTTTTTGTAATGTCAAAAAGTCTAAACGGATGATATGGCCACAAGCCAGAAAACAGATCAAGCTGAAAGTCAAATATTTTATTTATTATAATTTCAGTTATTGTGAATATTTTGAAAATGATAACCATACTGCTGAGTTTTAAGTGAGATGTTTCTGCTTATTGAAAATAAATTTATAAAACTGCTGCTGCTGCTGTTTTTTGGCATTTATTTAAACAATTATTATTTTTCCGAAGCAACTGTTTAGTTATAACAGAGTGATTTTGTATACATTTTAATCACATTACATAAAATCATTAAGTATTGCAAAAACTTACCAGAACACGATATACAGACACAATGCGTTCAGCACCACAACTTTGTGGGCTCCTGTGCCATTTCCATGACGGATAAGGCGTGATTACTGGATTTCCTTTATACATTTTACTGGAAACTGTACCCAATGTCACAGGTATTCCGGGCTGGAATCGTGGGATAGTAATGAAGATTTTGTTTTGTCTATTGTCCTCTATAAAAATAAAAAGAAACATTAATTTAAAGGTTTGATCACAGGATAAGTAAGTATAAAAATATATCATCTAGAAAAATGTAAATTGAGACATGTAAGTAAAATTTACTATATTTAAGATTAAATATGAACTCTATTTAAAGGGATATAGTTTTAGGAAACTGTGGTATGTTTAAAAAAACTGTGAAATACAATGAGGTTCTGTTCTCCATTTTACTTTACCATAAAGTCCGTTTTCAAAAACCACACCTAATTAACTAATCACTGGAAATAATCAAATTATACGGCAGTTCAGTATCTCACGGTATTTTAATACAGGATTTATGTGGAACATTATTGTTAATATTATTCACGACTTAAAAGAATTGTAAAACAAAATAGAACAATCAACAAAATTTAAAACTTGCTGTTAATTACAAAATTATAATTATGAAATAATTTTACAATTTTCAATTGTAATATCCTGTATATTAGTAGCCGTATTTAGAAATTGGTACATTTTTCCGACTGTTACATTTCTTTCAAAGTACTTCTTTTACATGCAATTAGATTATTTGTTGAATGAAATCGTTGTTGTTAATACAGCAATATATGTAAAAGGAAATTGTATTCCTTTGTATAGTGTTTGCCATGCAAAATTTTTTGTGTTAATTTCAACAAAAGTAAGAATTGTGTCACAAGATGTAATAAACACGATGCAGTTAGACAAAATGCGATGGATGAGCGAGTGAAGATTCGTTACAAGTACGGAGAGTGTGTAGCCGAGAATGTGCGCAAATTACGTGGAATTTTCGGTAGAAAGAACGCCCCGAATGAAGCAACTATGAAAAGATTAGTTGCCAAATTTGAACAAACAGATTCAGTTGAAGATAATAAAAAAAAAACAGCCAAAAATATTGCTACGGTGAGTGATAATTCTCGTAACCCCAGTACCGCGACGTCAGTCACTGCAATCAAACAATTCAAAAAGCACAACGCAGAGGATTTTAATAAAAGATCAGCATCTGCATCCATTCAAGATTCAGTTAACCCAGGAATTGAAATCAGATAACCATTTAATGCGTCGGATTTTTGTTGATTGGATGTTGAAGAATCAAGAAGTGGACGGTGATTTTGGAAGAAAATCATCTTTAACGACGAGGTGTATTTCCATCTTAGTGGGTATATGAACATGCAACTGTCGAATTTGGGGTAGAGACATTCCTTGGGTCATTCAAGAGCGAGCACTGTATACCCAAAGAGTGACAGTTTGGTGTGGATTTTATGGATATACTATAATAAAAATAAAACCTAAAAGTTGCAGGGCTATAATTTGCACAATAAAGAAGTATTTTTTTCATTTTTAAGAAATTGTTTTATAGAAAACAGAAAATAATTAAAACAATCTGAATAGCCATTTCTTGTGTTATATTACGCATATTTATGCAGTATTTCAGTTGTAATCAAATATCTTATGTAAGTAACTGACACTTGAAGTTTGAAAGTCCATATTAAAAAGGATACAGGATGTTAAAATTTATAAGTGTGGTCGAGATATAGCCTACAAATTATGATAATGCACTAGACGAAATAAACTTATCTAATAATATGCAACTACTCTGCAGACTACAGTCCCGTCTAGCATGTCATACTGATGAGAACTAATGTGTTCGAAACTGACCTACATCTGGTTAGTAGATCTCTCTCTGTTCTAATATATGTTGTACTTTGTATGTTACATCTTAACAAAACGCATGTCGGCAGAAGACATACTCAAATCCTGTTTAATTGCGAATTAATTAACTATAATTAAAATGTTCAAATCTATACTTATTTTAATTTTCACAAAAGATTTTAATTCTTGCTGTTAGATACTTATATGTTTCAAAATCCATAGTTTTTCAAATATAGTTCAATTTTGTTTACAGAGCAGCAATTTTATCCAAAATTGAATGGACAAGGGTGTAAAATATTTTCAAAAAAGACGCATGAACGTGCGCCATTGTTGTACAAAACCGGATATTAGTAACCGTTGTACATATTTTATCCTTATAACTAAATGTAAACCAAATTAAATCTGATATCACTTACAATTTCTGAGATATTGCACAAAAAAATTGAAGTGTAAATATGAATCTGAAAGCTCAGTATATTTTTAGATTTAGACTTATAAGAACTTGTCTGTTAAAAAAAATCAAATCAAATCAAATCTCTCACGTTCTGTCAGTTCAGAACTAACAAATCCTCGGTAAGTATAATAAATTTCAAATTAAATATTTCGTTGGAAATTTAACACTTCTATGCCAACAAAAAAAAGTTATTAACTCTTACAGCTGTGCAAATTGTGAATATTTTTCTTAATTGTTATAACAATAACTACCGAATTTNTAAAAAAAAGAATCGTAATGGGGTGCGATGAAGAGATCAGTTCACGTCTGGAACCCTGTTCCTACAAAAATCCCTTTATTCTCATAAACTATTTGTTTTAAATGTAATTTATTATAAATCCAATTCGTTATTTAAATTCCACATATGTACTACATTTCACCTCTGTACGCGCCACTGTTTATTGTTCCCTGCTCTACGATCAAGCTCGCCAGGTTAGTATTTGACGTATAACCGACCACTTCGTACACTCGATGCACCTGGCCGACTACAGCTAGTACCAGAACACAGTGCGTATGCGGCGGTATTTCAGATTTTACATTCAATTTCATTTTAAATTTGAAACGGTTCATCTTACGCCTCCTAAAAATGATGACACGATTTTCCTTTGATAAATGACCGACAATTTTTTGCTCTACTTTGCATCGAATACGATCGTACTATATCTACTGTATTCTTCTCGGTGTTTTCATTCCTGTCCCTTTTTTCGGTTGTTTCTCAAGCTTTTGAAAATGATTGAATGAATTATAATGATTTTTTAATTTCGTAAAGAACGGATTTCAAAGAATAAATCCATGTACTATACATATATACAGAGTGTTTCATAACTCACAGAGCAGGCAAGTGTAGAGGACTTAAATTATGCCGATTTGTTATTTTTCCAAACAAATGTAAGAGTAACAATTTTCGAATTAAATTTCCTGTAATACTGGTGAAACTATTTAATAATTGGCATACTGATAAAAAAATCGATATCACTTTAAGGGCGCCCTACCCCTAGTCCGGCCCTGGGGCTTCCAACAAATTCATATTTTTACCAATTAAAGATAATAAACGCAAATCATATTGCAAATTTAGTTGCCTATATTAAGGCATTGCTGAAATATTATTGTTTTTCAAAATTTAACACTCATCTTCAGAGGTCAATATTCTTCAATGGTATGTATGTATGTATGTCGGAGGGTGGTGGAATTGTTTTTCCACCGCGGCACTTAGGCCTTATTAGGTCCTTTGTACACTCTCCTTCATTACTCGAGTACTTTTCTTCAAACCATCCTATTTACTACACGGGTGGCTTGACGGCAAAGTCTCGTACAGTTTATGTATGATAAATATGTCTTGAGTTACAGAGATTTTCTTTGCTCTGTTCTCATTACCATTTATCGGGGACCACACGCATGCGGCAAATGTTGGGCGACCCAGGTCTCTGATAGGCTGCCACAGCCAGGTCCCCGAGCCTGCCTAGGTCACACATCCACAAATTCCAGCCTGCGTCCGTGATGCTTGCCTCGGCAGATCGAAATCGGCCGGCCAAGACACCCGGCTAGGCGGTCCCCTCTCTTCCATGGTACTACATCTCGGAAAAAAATGTTACATAACAAGATCCTCTACACGTGCCTGCTCTGTGTAGGTAGAGTTATGAAACACCCTGTATATATACTCACTAAGATACAATACTTAAATGTTTTGTCCGGACTGGAAAAAAAGTGGACCCAGCGTTTATAGCATAAAAATATGAATGAAATAAAGCACAGGCAAATTTTTGGCGAAATCGATTCATACAAATTACATGTCGCATTTCAGTTGGTTTTATATTGCTAAATATTTGCCCAATTTACATTAGTTAATTCGTTGTCCCATTAACTTTATAAAAGAGCGTAAAGATCGACTGCCTACTAAGCTCTACTCGCATGATCCCACATAGTTTTCTTAAGGAAGGAATTATTTTTCCCTGTAAAATAGCACATAGAAAGAAAGTTTGAAGCTGCCCCTTCTAAACAAACTTTGTATCTTGAATTTTCATCAAGAAACGAAAGAGTAGTCGTGCATTTAGTGCAGCGCCGCTTTGAAATACGTGCTTTTCTGGCTGATTTGCATTTTATATAAATCCTTAAATATCTTCTAAATAATGCACTGTACGAAAAAATCNCTGGAGACTGGAACAGTGGCTTCAAACCGAAGTGTTATGTATCAGTACCGGATTAAATAAAAATACCGGCTAGAGGACTTAATATCTAATTTTAGATTTTCTTCTGAAGAAGAGAGAGATATGTTTTTGTAATGTCAAAAAGTCTAAACGGATGATATGGCCACAAGCCAGAAAACAGATCAAGCTGAAAGTCAAATATTTTATTTATTATAATTTCAGTTATTGTGAATATTTTGAAAATGATAACCATACTGCTGAGTTTTAAGTGAGATGTTTCTGCTTATTGAAAATAAATTTATAAAACTGCTGCTGCTGCTGTTTTTTGGCATTTATTTAAACAATTATTATTTTTCCGAAGCAACTGTTTAGTTATAACAGAGTGATTTTGTATACATTTTAATCACATTACATAAAATCATTAAGTATTGCAAAAACTTACCAGAACACGATATACAGAGACAATGCNACACTTAAACTGACTGAGGGTTAAGATGGTTAATCTCCAAAGTGACTGCCACGTCATCGTTTTCGATTTCTTGACATTTTGACAAACATATCACACACACACACACGCACGCACGCACGCACGCATGCACACACGCACACACACATTACGTGCCTTGTGCATCCAGCTACTGATTTATATAAGTGACAACAAGCAACAGAAAATACATAAGAATAAAGAAAGTAGGCAATCTGGCAACACATATCTACCCTACTACAAAGAAATATTGAGAAGGTAGGCCTTCCCTTAAAAAAACACAATATTAACAACATCTATAGCAGTTCACTTGGATCTAAACAATATTATAATTCCAAAAAATAGATTCTATCCGAAACTATAGAGAAACAATAGAAATCCAAAAAAGATGAAAGTTTCGAACTACCTAGAATTAGGAAATATCAAAGACTGGACTAGTTTAAACGGAAGTGCCACGTATCAATGCACCATTAAATAAAAATACCAGCTAGAGGGCTTAATTTCCAATTTCAGAGTTTCTTCTGAACGGCTGGAACAACCAGCCAGAAAATTGTTTATCTATCACTATGGAAGGTTACAAACCAAACTGAAAGTTAAGTATGTTTTTTTTAATTTCAGTTATTCTGGAAACTGGAACAGTGGCTTCAAACCGAAGTGTTATGTATCAGTACCGGATTAAATAAAAATACCGGCTAGAGGACTTAATATCTAATTTGAGATTTTCTTCTGAAGGAGAGATATGTTTTTTGTAATGTCAAAAAGTCTAAATGGATGATGTGGCCACAAGCCAGACAACAGATCAAGCTGAAAGTCAAATATTTATTTATTTACTTTAATTTCAGTTATTCTGAATGTTTTAGACTGACTATTTGGTGATGAACCAGTGCCATTTCAAAACACACACACACAAAAAGGATAACCATACTACTGTGCTTTAAGTGAGATGTTTCTGATTATTAAAAATAGATTTGTAAAAACAACTCATTGACTGGGATAAGATATTATTTATTTAAACAATTATTTTTCTTCCGAGGCAACGGTTTACTTATAATGGAGTGATTTTGTACACATTTTTTAATCACATCTAATAATTTTTAGTTAATTAAATCACCATTTCACAATATTTGCATAAAAGATAAGCTACGGTATCATATTAATGACAGGATGAATAGTAAAATCAGATTTATTTGATTAGATTGTATAAAGTTATAAAAATAAATTATTTTTAGTAAATTATTATATCGCTGTCAATTTAAGTGGAGGTGTCCAACTGTATTGAGCAAATTTCTTCAAACTAACATGCGCAGATCGACTATTAGTAGATAACAATTTCTACAACTGTCGCAAGTAAAGTCTTTGTAACATTTTTTTATACTGACGTGTATGTAAAATAAAATCATTAAGTATTGCAAAAACTTACCAGAACACGATATACAGAGACAATGCGTTCAGCACCACAACTTTGTGGGCTCCTGTGCCATTTCCATGACGGATAAGGTGTGATTACTGGATTTCCTTTATACATTTTACTGGAAACTGTACCCAATGTCACAGGTATTCCGGGCTGGAATCGTGGGATGGTAATGAAGATTTTGTTTTGTCTATTGTCCTCTATAAAAATAAAAAGAAACATTAATTTAAAAGTTTGATCACAGGATAATAAGTATAAAAATATATGATCTAGAAAAATTTAAATTGGGACATGTAAGTAAAATTTACTATATTTAAGATTAAATATGAACTCTAAAGGGATATAGTTTTAGGAAACTGTGGTATGTTTAAAAAAACTGTGAAATACAATGAGGTTCTGTTCTCCATTTTACTTTACCATAAAGTCCGTTTTCAAAAACCACACCTAATTAACTAATCACTGGAAATAATCAAATTATACGGCAGTTCAGTATCTCACGGTATTTTAATACAGGATTTATGTGGAACATTATTGTTAATATTATTCACGACTTAAAAGAATTGTAAAACAAAATAGAACAATCAACAAAATTTAAAACTTGCTGTTAATTACAAAATTATAATTATGAAATAATTTTACAATTTTCAATTGTAATATCCTGTATATTAGTAGCCGTATTTAGAAATTGGTACATTTTTCCGACTGTTACATTTCTTTCAAAGTACTTCTTTTACATGCAATTAGATTATTTGTTGAATGAAATCGTTGTTGTTAATACAGCAATATATGTAAAAGGAAATTGTATTCCTTTGTATAGTGTTTGCCATGCAAAATTTTTTGTGTTAATTTCAACAAAAGTAAGAATTGTGTCACAAGATGTAATAAACACGATGCAGTTAGACAAAATGCGATGGATGAGCGAGTGAAGATTCGTTACAAGTACGGAGAGTGTGTAGCCGAGAATGTGCGCAAATTACGTGGAATTTTCGGTAGAAAGAACGCCCCGAATGAAGCAACTATGAAAAGATTAGTTGCCAAATTTGAACAAACAGATTCAGTTGAAGATAATAAAAAAAAAACAGCCAAAAATATTGCTACGGTGAGTGATAATTCTCGTAACCCCAGTACCGCGACGTCAGTCACTGCAATCAAACAATTCAAAAAGCACAACGCAGAGGATTTTAATAAAAGATCAGCATCTGCATCCATTCAAGATTCAGTTAACCCAGGAATTGAAATCAGATAACCATTTAATGCGTCGGATTTTTGTTGATTGGATGTTGAAGAATCAAGAAGTGGACGGTGATTTTGGAAGAAAATCATCTTTAACGACGAGGTGTATTTCCATCTTAGTGGGTATATGAACATGCAACTGTCGAATTTGGGGTAGAGACATTCCTTGGGTCATTCAAGAGCGAGCACTGTATACCCAAAGAGTGACAGTTTGGTGTGGATTTTATGGATATACTATAATAAAAATAAAACCTAAAAGTTGCAGGGCTATAATTTGCACAATAAAGAAGTATTTTTTTCATTTTTAAGAAATTGTTTTATAGAAAACAGAAAATAATTAAAACAATCTGAATAGCCATTTCTTGTGTTATATTACGCATATTTATGCAGTATTTCAGTTGTAATCAAATATCTTATGTAAGTAACTGACACTTGAAGTTTGAAAGTCCATATTAAAAAGGATACAGGATGTTAAAATTTATAAGTGTGGTCGAGATATAGCCTACAAATTATGATAATGCACTAGACGAAATAAACTTATCTAATAATATGCAACTACTCTGCAGACTACAGTCCCGTCTAGCATGTCATACTGATGAGAACTAATGTGTTCGAAACTGACCTACATCTGGTTAGTAGATCTCTCTCTGTTCTAATATATGTTGTACTTTGTATGTTACATCTTAACAAAACGCATGTCGGCAGAAGACATACTCAAATCCTGTTTAATTGCGAATTAATTAACTATAATTAAAATGTTCAAATCTATACTTATTTTAATTTTCACAAAAGATTTTAATTCTTGCTGTTAGATACTTATATGTTTCAAAATCCATAGTTTTTCAAATATAGTTCAATTTTGTTTACAGAGCAGCAATTTTATCCAAAATTGAATGGACAAGGGTGTAAAATATTTTCAAAAAAGACGCATGAACGTGCGCCATTGTTGTACAAAACCGGATATTAGTAACCGTTGTACATATTTTATCCTTATAACTAAATGTAAACCAAATTAAATCTGATATCACTTACAATTTCTGAGATATTGCACAAAAAAATTGAAGTGTAAATATGAATTTGGACGCTCAGTATATTTTTAGATCTAGGTTTATAAGAACTTATGTGTTAAAATCAAATCTCTGATGTTCTGTTAGTTCAGAACTAACAAATCCTCGGTAAGTATAATAAATTTCAAATTAAATATTTCGTTGGAAATTTAACACTTCTATGACAACAAAAAAAAGTCATTAACTCTTACATCTGTGTAAATTGTGAATATTTTTTTTAATTGTTATAACAATAACTACCGAATTTTTTTAATATGTTGTACATATATTTGCTTTTTAAAATCATCAATATTTATCTAAGTAAATATTGAATTGTGCATAATTTTGATTACACTTAAAAGTTGAATCACCTTAGTAGTGTTTAACGAACTCATATAATAGCAAGACAGTAAAATTGGACAATAACCTTTTTCTGATGAAGGTTAATAGGTATATATAATTCTTTGATAATTATTGTATAAATTAATATTAAAAAAACAGATTTAATGATAGTTTTCTTATGTACTATTTTCGTCATAACTTAAATATTTAAACATTTATGGCACCAGTTAATTACACAGTCCCACAAAAAAGTGGTATATTCCAAAGATTAGACCCATGTATCTTTGTGTATTTTGACTCTCTGAATTTGCATCTGGGACAGAATTGCTCCATCGCCCCCCATTTTTTTTAAATCACGAAAAACCGCCCTTAAATATAGAAAATACCGAAAATCTCGCTTTGGAGAAATCAGCATTAGGTATAACTGTATAAACCGACTAAAAATGATTGCAGGGCCATGTTTATATGTATTCTGATATGCTGAATTCGAATCCGAATTCAGAATTGCTCCATCACCCCCAGTTTTCCCACTTTAGGGGGGTATAGCATTTGGAACAACTGTAAAAAGAGAATGAAAGTTACTGCAGGACCATATCGAGATGTATTTTGACGCGCTGAAGTCGAATCCGAAGTTGAAATTACTCTATCACCCTCCAGTATTTTTATAGCGTGCAAAGTAACCCAAGAATCTGGGAAACTCCTCAGTCATAGATAGAACTTCAGCCATTTGATCTTACCCTTGATACCAACTCATTTCCTTGTTATCATGGTGAAACCGTTCACCCTGTTCTTCGCCGTAGTCTCCAAGGTTCTCCGGAAAGAAGATGATTGTCTAGTAAATGCAATTCCAAATTCATCAGGCAACTGTTTGAAGCTTTCCAACAATTCCTCAACTAAATTTTATTATTCCTCACTCTTCTAATTCCTCAAGGAGTTCTGAGTGACTTTCTTGAAACTTAGCCATGCTGCTCTTTCAGTATAATTCATTTTTGTGATAAATTTTTCGTCTTTGAACATGGTACGGATTTGAGGACCATCGAAAATACCTTTTTCCAGTTTAACATCACTTATTTCCGGAAACTTCTCTTCTAAATATCTAAAACAGTCACCATCTTTGCCCAGAGCTAGCGAACTATTTTATGAGACCAAGTTTAATATGGAGAGGTGGAAGCAGAATATTTGAAGGATCAACTAAGGGTTTGCGGATGATGTTTTTCAACCCTGGATGGAAATTTATTTTGTTTGGCCATACTTTCTATTCATAGTTACTGTCTCTAATGTCCCATAGATATAAGAAATAGTTTTATTTTCTGTATTTAACGACGGTTTTTCGCGATTTATAAGAAAAAAATTTAAAGTGATGCAGCAATTCTGATTCGGATCTTAGCGCGTCAAAATGCATAAGGATACATGGGTCTAATCTTTGCAAGGTACTAGGTATTTTTCTATTTTTGTTGAACTATTTTATCAAGTGCAACTTTAAAAGTTATCAAAGAGACCTTACATTGAGGAACTAGGTACAATAAACATTTTTAAGAATACAAACCTATAGAAAACGTGATATGATATCAATAATGGTTTTAGATGTGCTACTGGCTATTAAAATTAAGAACTACCTGTAATTGTTATACAAATTAATTTTTACAGTTTTCTTTAACTGTTTAAGTTAAATATACCTTAATTATTTATCAGCAGTGGCGGCTGGTGACAATTATAGTGGTTATATTTTGGTAATAATGCATGTACGTATAATATTTTTTACGAAATGAGTTCTCTTCACAGAAAACTTTCATGAACAGAAAATTTCGAAAGAAATTTGCGAAATAAAAACTTAAATCTCAAAAAGGGTTGTGCAAATTGTTTTTTTTTCCATTTTTTTATAAAGTTACAGCATTATGAAGTTTAAACAATAGAATGCTAGTTAGTATTAAATAAAAATTTAAATAATATACAAAAAAATTTCAATATTGTAAAAAATTAAAAGGATGACTGTTGGGTCTATTAGGTGATTATGAAAAAAAATATTGTTCAAATATGTGCAACCCTTTTCCAGAGATCTCAGAGTAGATCCTATTTTAATTTTTTAATTCGCAAAATTCGTTTGAAATTTTTTCACAAAAATTCTCTTTGTGGGCATAGAAATCAATACCCAAAAAACGGTATGGGTCCCATGTTTCCTTATTAAAAACCACATTAATTTTCACCAGCCGTCACTGTAAATAAACATTACAATATGAAATTAATGTTATTCTAGTTAAATAACGTAATGTTATGGTTTGCGGTTAATGGTCTTGGTATAATTTTAACTTTTACATAATATTGTTTGCATATATAATAATGTATACTAATATACCATACCTACTGTACCTAGCGTAGTAGAAAACAAATTATTCATATCAAGAAATAATTACAACCATTTATATTTTACACCTGACAAAGTTGTCGCTTTCGCCTTGTACTATCTGAAATTCTTAACTAGCTAAACTCTTATCATATCTAGGTAGGTAATTCAAAAGTTAGGGTCTTGTATTTGAAATGTATATTTTTACCACTATATGAAATATAAATATTAGTATTGTTCAGTCCTGATAGTACAAATTTTGAAACTCAATATTTTTCTGTGCTTGCGAAGAAAAACAAAAAATATAAACTACTTTTCTTATTTTTAAGTATTTTCTTTTTTTCCATAGGAGGGAATATATTATAATATCTCTACTCCTCATTCTAAAACCACGAGAATTAGTCCAGAAGTCGGAGACTTGTGCGGGAGAGGAGGCGGCATATTATTATTAAGCAAGCCGCTTTTGCGCCCAGGAACAACTTATGTTGGTAGGACCATTCAGTGCAAAAATGAGGGAAACCTGGAAAACCTCATTAATGGTCAAATGCCACATTGACCCAAGCCAACATTCTTCCATCCTACCATACCTGCACGGTGGATGCCAATCCTCCGTACACGCATAGCTAATCTACGGTCTACCGGCCGCGGGAATCGAACCCGGGCAGCATTAGCACACATCGATTTAAGTACTGACGCCTTAAACCGTGTATTCAGACAATACTAAGGCTATGCTACGAATAAATAACTTTAGGCAATATAAAAAGCTCATATATGAAAATTCTGTACATCCACTTGCTTCGTTAATTCTATAAGCACCATCATGGTGACGTGGGATTAAAAAACGACGTTCAGAAGTGAGTTAATATGTATAAAACGTTATTGCACTTCATTTAAATAAAGTTAGAATCAAGATTCTTTTTTATGCTGAGGCTTATCTTAACCATCCAGAATATTCACCAGGCTACATCAGCGACTCCGAGGCTGGAATGATCTAAATCTGTGGAAGAAAGTGGGAGAAAACCCTGGAATTAGCGTTACACGGATTGCCCCTTTAGGTATTAGCCACTCTTTTGTTTGGAGAACCATTACGGAATGGTTACTGTATCCCTACCATATCCAACGTGTACAAGTCGACCAGACTGGGATACTAGATGAACATTTTGTATAGGGGTTTTGGGAGTACATCCTAGCAATCCTAATTTAATCCTTTTCACAGACGGGAATTTACAATTCTCGATTTTTATAACATGCATGCTCACCAGAATCCACATACTATTGTTGAACCTAGATTTCAACAGAACTCTAGTTTAAATTTTAAATGTCTGGATTGCCACTGTGGGAGGCAGGATATATCTAATTGAAACCACGAACCTGGTAGACCAGTTGGAGACGTAGATCGACAGACCTGAATATGCTGGACTTTTTCAACGACAGTTAATAGAAGGTTGCAATACAATTCGAGCTTAACCTGGGAGGATTGAGAGGTCATGTAATTTATTTTTAAGATACGGAGTAATATGCAAGGACAGTTTGAACACCTCTAATAATGTATTTTTCATGAAATCAAAGTGTTAAACCTCTCAATTTCATTTTTTACCATCAAATTTTTACTTATAGTACCCCGTATGAAACAAATTTACAGGAACATTTTTTCATCTCATTTAGTACAACATTGAAAATGAGAATTTGTGTTGCTACGGACGTGCCGCCAAAGTATTTAAAATTACATATTTCAATTTTCTCTAAAATGGAATGTTTTATCGAAGAGATAAGAGTAGGTACTTTTCCTATAAAAAAAAGAGTTCGATACACATGAATCTTTATCCTTTTGTCCTGTATCTCACATTTTTTAACGTCCTAAATACTATTCGCTAAAAATATTATCGTATGAACAGAGGTAAAACTTAATTATCGTGTTAAATTACCTAAGAAATTTTTAACATTTGGAATGAAAAAGCAGGTTAAAAAAAATCGCAAAAAATTGATTTTCTCACCGGAATAATACACATCTGTGTCTATGGGAGCAGGCCGTCCTGGAATAAATATTTTCAAGTCGATATCAGCTTGCCGATCATATTGAGACTCGTAGTCAAACTCTAGTTGTGACCATTGATAAACTGTATCTAGACTTGGCTTGGCGGCGAATCCTTGTTGGAAGGGCACGGTGCATACTCCAAGGAAGAGACATAGAAATTTTCCTGCAAATAAAAAGGATTTTGGAATTATTATGTAAGCTTGTTTGAATCCGTCACTCCACACTCAAACAACTAATGTTAATTATAAATCGGATAACAACATAAATCTGTTCACAATTATTTAAAATAATGGAGATTTAGAAAGATTTAGATGGAACTTTTATTGTGTTCATTATTTTTATTTGTAGTAATAATTGTAATTCATCATTCAGACCATAAGTAAATGCTACACGCGAAGCGTATAAAGTAATTATACGCTTTGTTCACATGGATCGCTAAAGATACAATGGTTTTCAATTTTCACACCTTTTTTATTGTACATTATTAACTGCGAACAGGAAAAGTCTGATTCTAGTTTGTAAATATTTTTTATATAACGTGTTACCATAAAAATTATCCATTTCAAATAATTACGAGATATAAATTATAAAGAAAACGCTGAAATATATTGATTTCGAAGTTATTTGATGATCAATATGCACTGTCTAAAGGCATAATAAAGATTATTTAGTCACATTAGACAGTATTTTGTTTTTTCTTAATGATTATTTAACATTTTGTAGTAGTGGCACAATACTCAATAAAATGAAAACAAATGATACGTCATAAACAATCATTTCAGTTCAATTTAGGAGCTATATCGAAGTTTTGTATTACCCTGGAAAGATGGAGCCTGGTATGGTTTTCGGATGCCTCCAAAATAACCAGAGGGACGGGTGCAGGAATATATGGACTCAAGACTCAGATGGTTAGACCAGGACTTTGTTAAAAGGACGAAACTACTTGCTGAATAGGTTTGAACAGTGAGAAGCACAATAGGCGTGATAAGACTGAGGTACTATGGGACTTGAATAGAACCTAACCACAGGAAGAACAAGTTTTGTATCTCTCTATTGTATTTCATGTTTGTATTTGTATATTACACAAGTTAATAAGCAATTTGTCAACTTTCAAAGAGGCATAAATAACTTATTTGAAAAAATACCAAGAAAAAGTATTGTTAGTAAATTACATTACAAAACTAATATCAACGTATTAAATCAGTTATTAATAAATCAACTTTTATCAAAATCATTAAAACAATTATAAATTGATTGAAAAAATGAATCGTCGAATAATGGGAAGATGATATGTAGTATATTGCAGAATGTTAGAATTTAATTATATTCGTATTAGCATTTAAAGAAGTTCTATACATTTTATTTATTTTTCAATTTTTTTTCAAACAGATGTGTTTCTTAAAGTTAACAACAACAGACAAGAATAATAAATTAAACAACTTTTCCAGAATTCGAACCATGACAAATATTTCAGGTTATTTTACTTTTAAATTTTGACCAGTTAACATACTGTTTTAATCTTTTTTTCTTCATTCTCAGAAACATCCTGAGGATAAAGATAAAAAAAGAAAATATTGTTGTATTAGACTGAATAAGTATAAACAATCAAATGATACAAAAAAAGATTGTTTTACCATTAGAACCAATTTTTTAAGATATTTTACAGTAGATACAGATGGCATTGAATAAACCCACCTTATTCTATATTCTTCTATTAGGTACACCTCTATAAATAGTTATCTTCAAAAAAGAAATAAAAGAGAAGAGAATTTTTTTTGAAGACCTATAATTTTTTAAAAACGCAAAATTTTACTAACATAATTAGACCCAGGAAAATTAATTTTGAAGTATATCTCATTCGTTTCTGGATACCCTGTATAAGAAAACCTGATTATACAAGACATTAAAATTATACTAAAGGTGATCTAGAAAATTTAATTTAATCTAAAAATTTACATGGTATGGTTAAAAAATATACAGTGTGATCCAGAAAATTACGTCAATACATCAGCCACAGATTCTTTGGACGAATATAATAGGACTGTTGGTATATTCGAAATACAGATCAAGACTAATCTTTTAGCGTATAAATTTCTAATTTAATGTAAAAAGTTTCTGAGTTGTGAAATACGTGCGTATGTTTTAAATTTTATTACACTTTTTAATATTTTAACATTGTACAGTTAAAATTTTTTATAAAAATTTCAATTTTCAAAATCCTTTCTTTTATTATGTAAATAGTAATATAATCACTGATATTGTAACTAAATGTTCTCTTCTTTTTTACTTCTACACCAATTTTTTTTTAATATAAATTAGATAATATCTTTGGGAATTGCAGATTTTCACTGTTCAATCAATTAACGTTAAACAAGCATAAACATTATCAGTTGTTGCACAAAATCAAACCTTAATCTTGATCAACAATAGAGTATTATATAAGATAAAATATTATCCAATTCATTCATTCATCAGAAATACATTATGAATTATGATATACAATAAAAATGGAAAGATATTTTTAAATGTCAAAATTTTTTATTTGGCTGTAATAAATAATAAAGGATACAGGGTAGGTTGCCAAAATAAAGGTAAGTTGCGCGTATTTTTTATAATGAGACTTTCACAAAAATCTAAGTATTCTATTATTATTTTATTATGTAATTTAATTAGATTTTACATGTAAATTAAAGTTATGAAATGTTTGTAATTGGTTCTAAAGTGTTAAATCTGTACAAAAATAATTAAATAAATGTAATAATATTAACTTGTAGAACTTTTAAACATGCGTGTGCAATATCAACCGAATTCTATATTAAATTCAATATGGTTATTAATAAATGTTAAAAGTGCAATAATGTTTCATAAGTACTTGTAAAATTTAAAAATTTCTACTTCGAATTGAATACATAATGAGTAAAATACATAATTAAAAATATGATTTTTTAACGGAATTTATGTTTTTGGAACATGTGTGCTTAAAAAAAGCGTCGTTACAAATTTCCTCCATGGTTTTCCAGGCTGATTACAGAGGTTCACAAAACAAACAAAGTCGTCTGTTGTTTTGATCAGACCCTGTTATTGTCATATTTTCAGACTCCCTGAACATGAATCTGAAATTAGTTTGGCGTCAGCACCTACCATTTTCGAGATCCTCAAAAAACTGGTTACTTAGGTATAAGTTTAAGAATTGTAACGTCGTGGAAGCTGGTCCGCATAGTGGATTCCATAACACTATCTCTATAAGTTAGGTCTCACTGAAGACGAATCTGAAGTCAGTTTGAGATCAGCAACCACCATTTTCAAGAAAATGTTCACTCAATTCATATAAAAGGATGTATATCTACACAAGGTAGTATGCGATGTACAGTAAAAATATATTTTTATAGCGAACTCTTTTGTACTCAAAAGACTGATGTAGTGAGTTTCTTTCTTTTTTTACATACCTCTAACCTTATATTATTATCATTTCAGCATCCAACTTACCTACCTTTTCCCATTTCCTTTCAATCTTGGTGAAATCGTTCACTTTGCTAAATCATCAAATCACCTAAATTATCGGTAAGTAAACCATGTAATTAAAATTTTCTGAAGTTTTCCCAAAAATTTTTCTATTTGCCTTCTCAGTTTCGTTTATTTTCAATAAAAAACTAGCATTACTGATTTTAGGAACCCGTTGTACCCATAACATTCACCTTTTTCGTCCAAAGCCTTAACGAATTGTTTCATTGAAGTGGACGAAGCAGAACCTTAAATGGATCTAGCAAAGGTGCTTAGGTAACGTTAAAAAGACCCTGGATTCAGATCTCCTCGGTTAGGGCAAATTGTTTGCTCATAGTAATTATTCCCATCTCTACTGTCCCATAAACTCAGAAAACAAGGATACTTGGTAAATCCTGATTATTAGTGATTTTGAAATCTCCATAAATTTGTGCTCTACACATGTTATTTTTTCTAAAACATACTTAATACTATCATAACTTTCAATGTAGGATTCCTACAGGCTTCATTTTGAGTAGTCAATGACTAACCTCCATTAGTAGCCTTTATAAACGTTATGTTTTGATTCCTTTATTAAACCTTTAACGTAACAATACACTTCTTCATCTGAAGAACAATATTTCCAAAAACTTGTTTCACGTGATCGATATACAAAAAAAGATTTGATTCCTTCAGACATATTTTTCTTTTTCAGTTCTCTAGCTGAATATTTAGCTCCGTCTTTTAATAAACCTAGAGAATAATATAATGTGGCCCACCCTGAATAAACGTTTGCGGATGTTTCTTTCCATGCCAGGATATATATTCGTGATCATTGACTATTTCACTGTGATCTTCTTCCTCTTTATATTCTTTCTCGTTTCCAGATTGGCATCAGCAGATCCAAATGTATGGAGATTCTCACAACGTTACGAACCTTCACAAATAACCCGTTTTTGCTGGCGCCAAACTGACATCAAATTCGTGTTCGATGACTCCGAAAACATGACATCAGTTATAGGATCTGCTGAAAAGAACAGACTACTTTTTTTGTTTTGTGTGCTGTATTATCGACAATGTTATTCTCAAAAAAAAAAACAAATCTTGATTCTAGGATGTATAAATTGAAACACTTTTGTGAAAAGTATGTATCGAAACTGACCCGTCAGTTGTTCGGGTCATTTGTTGAAAATAGAAGATTTAACCCTCATTTAATGACAATATAAATTCATCATCTTCCTTGGGAGTAGCTAGAATCATAAAGGATCATGCAATAGCTAATAAAACGACAGTAGGTGTTTATGGCACACCTAGCTTTTTTATAAAGGATTGTATATATGTGGTGGCTGACCCGCTACCATTTTTTTTAATCTCATACTACAACTCTAAGATGATCCTGCACTAGTAAATAATTCTAGACTTGTATCCATATTATACAATTCCTCCAAAATCTTTGAAATCATCATTCATGGCACACTATTTAATGATATTAAGAACAACCTAGCCACAGAGCATCGTGGTTTTATTTCTAGAAGATCAAGTATAATCAAGCTTGCTTCTCTTTGTGAACACTTGGATCAACAGTATGAAATTGTTATTACTGACTTTGCCTTTGCCCAAATGGACCACTTTATATTATTGCACAAGCTGGAACAATTTGGTTCTCAGTTGAATTACCTACTTTCTCTCTCGTGCTCTTGTTTGATAGATAAATAGATAGATATTTTTATTTTCTGAGACATAAAAAATGTATAAGAATGTGTCATTGACTGTCAGCAATTTATTGAATGTGAGGTTTTTAAATCTCCAAAATCTATTCGTTCAGTAAGTGAGCTCTTATTCTATTCAATTATATTATCAATTATACCCTCTGAAGAGATTCAATAAAGTCAAGTAATTAAAAATTTAGAAATGTCTTGACCAGAACTTTACGTTTGTATTTCCTTATCTGCTTTAAACGTTCCGGGATTTATTATATGTAGTAGACAGTGGACAGTTAACAAACAAATGAACTGGATTATGATGCTTTTGTGTGGTCACCCAATCATAATTGCCATATATGTAGTATCGAGCTTATCGAAAGAGGGTTTCTGAAATGTTTAGCTTATAAGGAAACTCAATGCTATTAATTCTTTATATAACCTTGCATACAATTGTATTGACTGTTTGTTTATGTTTCAAAATATTAACCGGTTAGTCCCTCGCACAATAACAATATAATGAATTTTTAATTTTGCGTCGTCTAGACTACAAAACTTGTCTATTTTGAATTAATTTATGTGTTTTTATCATGCTTCTTTTTTATATTTTTAAATATTTTTATTTGGCATTTGTGTTAAATGCATTATCATTCACTTCTGCACCTATAATCTGTTATTTATTCTCCTATATATTTCCTATAACTGAGTATAACCTGTTGGAAATATTCTACTATTATTATAAACATAGCTGACGTATTTTAAATAACATAATTTTATACCGGGCGTCCAAAAATTTGCATTTAAGAATTATATTTACTAAAGCAAATATTTTAGAATTTAAATTTCAGATTTCTTCCTCAACGATTTTCTAATTCTTGGCAAAGGTTTTTTTGAGCTCAGTAGACCATGCAAATGAGAAATCATCATAAACTAAGTATAGTAAAGGACTGTTTCAAATAAGCGAGAATGCTAATAAATATATTAATACAATCATTTGTTGGTATCATTATCTACAAATTACAGTTATTACAGCTTGATCAAATTCAACTTGTCGAGAACGTTACCAGATCACGGGAGCTCATTCCGTGTCTGAACCTACCGTCCCAATATTAACATCCCTTGGGTCTTTGTCGTTCCTAGTGGGGACTCTCTTCTTGAACCCCGACAAGATGAGTTTGATCAAGTTGTAGGTCGTTAACTTTAAGTTAAGGTGCCTTTCAGTTTAACATTTGAATAGTAAAGTAGTAATTTACATTTTTTTTGTAAAAGGCAACAATAACAATTAATTAAGCTCAAGTAATCTTATCAATAAAGAAGTAAAAGGAAGTGACCTTGCGACTGTAAAGAATTCGTGTTTATTGTAAGCACCAGTGAGTAGGTTTCTTTGTTACATAGCAGTTATTGTAGTAATAATATTAAATACAATGTGAATCTGATTTAAACGCCTTTTAAATCTAAAAACTTCGCAGCAGAATAAGATTAACTAATTATCGTGTTGTGAGATTACATAAATTTCTAGGCTTTACAACGTTTTCATAGATTTAAAAAGTACGTTCGTGTATTTGTGTAATAATTACTAGTGTGCAAAGCGGAATTTACTAGCAAATAAGAAAAATATAGAGTTGTTACGTAACTCAACAGTTTTTTTTTACTGATTAACCTTTACGACATCACATGACAATTTGATTTTAATGATTGCAATAGTTTATCTCTGTGAAATTGGTAATATTTGATTATGATAAAATACATATAGGTAAATTAAATAATTTCAAAGTACTACAACAATTCATTTTCTTCCAAATTTTAAAGAAATTATTTATTTACATCTTTGGTTTCTATGCTACATTATTCTTCGTATTGTGTAAAATTCATCTAGTTAATAGTTTTCAAAAAAATATATTAGTTTATTGCGTAACTAAACATCTTAAATTAAAAATTCAAAGAATCATACGTAAGTTTTCTTAAAATATTCTGATACAGACAAATCCTTGTCATACATGTGTATTTTATTTTTTTACATACCTTTTTGGACGCTATTCTCAAATTCCTCGTCGAATCCTGCGGGACCTTTAGTCCTGAGGTAGCCATTGGCAAACGTAATCGCAGTGACAATAAAAACACTGAACCTTACCACTTTGTGTCTCATGATTAGTGCAAATGTTAAATACACGACTGAAAACAATGAGACGTCAAATGAATGTCTATCGATCGATTCACTCAAAGAACGCACTATTTTGATTAGTTATAACGAGCATTTAATGATCGTTTGTTACATAAAAACCTTCAGGTAACACATTTAAATCGAAATTGCTCAAAGAAAAAACATATTAAGTTAGATGAAGAACTTAGGGTTCATTGTCTGTCAGAATCCATTTTAAATGGTGGCTAAATTAATCTACAGACAACGTAAGCTAAAAATTATGTCTGTTTAACCAAAGAATATAGTTTTTCTCTTATAAGAGGTGGTTATTCGTGTAGATCTCAGAATATACATATGTATATGAAAGTGGGAATTATTACAAATTAACGAATTATATTATACTATTATATTATTTCATATCTTCAGATATATACGGTGTTGTGGAGTTAAGTACAAAAAAAATTGTGGGTGATGGAACATCAAAATCTAAGACGATTTTTCTTATAGGCCGAGGGTCTATCGTCTTTTGCTTTTGTCTTTTACAAAAAAAAACAATGTATTGCATTGAAATTTTGTACAGGTACGTTTCTAAGAGAGCTAAATACAATATTGTCGTTCATTTTCTACCATCTAGAAGGCTGCTACCATCCCTCTCAGTGACATTTTATGACACAATTTTTTTTGAGGTTAGGTTTTTTAGTTTAGTTTCGTATTAAAATAAAAGAGGGACTCTTGTTAAAATCGCTGATTACAAATCAAATAACACAAACAAAAGACAAAACAAATTATCTTATTTTTCGTGTTCTATCATCCACTTTATTTTTTGTCTTCACTTCTGTAACACTTTGTATATTAATTCCAGCTTGAAAGGATCCGTACCCTTCGTTCATTCTGAATAAAATCTCAATAAAACAAAAATGGTACGTAACTGAGACGTACGGGCTGGTAAAATTATCGCGGATCAATTGTCGTCTTAGAAACAAGAAAAATTTTTCTTTTAATAATTTATAACATCCTATAATACTGTGAATATGGCAGGCATGTGTTTTTTCTTTAGTACAATTCGGATAATCGGATAAACTATTTTTATTTTTACTTTAGTTATTAATGGCTAGGAAGTTATCTGTCTAGAATGCCCAAAATCAAAATAAATCATAGTACAAGAAATGGTAATAAAAAATGTACAATTTAAAAAATTCAGCTCTAGTGCTTATTAGATAAGATTTAAAAGATGAAATCCGTTTTTAGTGGAATTATAAAGAACAGTGGGTGTTCGTATACAGGGTGATTCACTTTTTATGATCAGGACTTTAACCATCGATAGATCTCGTCAAAGTAATGTCATTTTGAAGTGTACACTTTTTCTTACAAAGGCTTCCTTTTAGAAAAAAAAAACTCCTCCTGAAAAAATATTTTTTTTTGGTTTTTATTTATTTTTTCTTAAACCATGGAAGCCATTTGTTTTATATTTAGTGAGAAGTGTACGAATGAAAAGCTCCATCGATTTTAAAAATTATTGTGAAAATAGATCAATCGTAGACGTCCGTAAGGGGCTCTGATAACCCTTATTTTTAATATTATTTCTACGCCACTGGAAATTTTTCAAAACAAATATTTTTTTACATTGTGATTTATTTTACAGTAAAAATGTCTTTTGCTATTTTTAAATGAAATGCTTGGTTTTTGAGAAAAATGGCTTCTTATGGACTCATTACATGTGAAATGGTCAAGTTTTTCAGACAAAGAAGATTTAAATATTTTACTCGATGACTTGCCATTACTTTTTAGGAGGAATATATGGATTCAGATTCACATAAGACAGTGGCTCGGGGAGTACTATGCACGTCGTTGAATCGGGCGTATTTTGGAAATGAATCATGCAGAACCTGATACCGGTCTCATTGATTGGCCGCCACGATCGCCAGATCTAAATCTCATGGATTATTTCGTTTGGGGATTTATTAAAGAAAGGGTCTGTACTCTTGAAATGTTAAGAAGAAGAATTGGAAATAATTGTAAGACTCTTAAACACAACCCCAAAATGATAGGAGAGCAGTTCAAAACTTAATTAGTCGATATGAGAACTGCATTGATGTTCGAGGACAATATTTCGAACATCTGTTGTGATTGTTAATTGTTATTTCTGTTTGTTTCTCAATATTAAATATTTTATTTTGCATTACTTTGTTTGAAAAACTTAACCATTTCACATATAATGAAATCCATAAGCCATTTTTCTCAAAAACCAAGCATTTCTTTTAAAAATAATAAGAGACCTTTTTGCTGTAGTATAAACCGCAATGTAAAAAAATATATTAATTTTGAAAAATTTTCAGTGGCGTAGAAATTATTTTAATTATAGGGGTATCAAAGTCCCATACGGACGCCTATGATTGATCTATTTTCACAATAATTTGTAAAATCGATAGAGCTTTTCATTCACACACTCAATACTAAATATAAAACAAATAGCCTTCATAGTTTAAGAAAAAATAAATAAAAACCAAAAAAAAATGTTTTTTCAAGAGCTTACATCTCAAAAAGGAAGCCTTTGGAAGAAAAAGTGTATACTTCAAAATGACATTTTTTGACGAGTTCTATCGATGGTTAAAGTCCGATATAGTGAAAGTCACTGTAGGTATGTGTTGATTTTTAAAACAACAAACATAAGGATTTTTGTACATCTCAATCAGCAGTCGCTATGTTATTCATCTTTATGAATTATTTTAATATGTTTCATTGAAAATAAATAGATCAAGAAAACTAATAAATTAAAACATTAAACTTATGAGATTATAATACATTTAATTTTGTGATACAAAACTTCCTTTGTTTATAAAGAACTTCAAGATTTCTTAAAAAAAATAAAAATTACACTTTATCTCAGGATTTCAGAATTCAGGATAAGTCTACGGTATATCTATAATTCAATAATAGAATGAAATGAGGTAATTACGTTTTTGTAAAGTAACTGAAACTTGATATATACGACTTTACTGGAATTCCTAACAATATTGCGTTGACAGATTTAGGTTCTTTTGCGAAAAATGAGAGGCTTTGTTTGTAGTCATTTAAATTTTTAGAAAAATTGAACACCACGCAAGAAAATAATAAAATTTTTAAAAGTTCGGAAACACAATTAACTGTTATATGATTACTTCACAATAGTTTAGATATAATAGGCATAAACTCATTTTTAGAAAGCAAAATAGCAAATAGAAAATAGTCGAAAAAAGACATTTTAGAAAAATTATAGGAATATTGTAATAAACTTAATAATGGTTATTTAGTTCATATTACAGAAAAATGATTTTACATTTGTATAAAAACTGTATAACGTCTAACATATTTTCGTTATTTTAGATTTGATTTAGGAGGAAATTCGGTAGATATAGACTTTAGTAATACATTTTAATTGTAACTTTCTTATCGTACTTACGTTATTAGTAATTTAGATGGAAAATGTAGGAAATCATGATTAATTATGGATATTAATTACTATTATAACCTGATTTATACTTAATATTCCTGGTTTTTATAACATGATTGTGTAGAAATTATGTGGCAATAATAGAATAAATTTTAAGTAGGTGCCAGCAATGTAACATTGGAGAAAACAAAACAAAAAAGGGCGTGCTAATTTTATAAGGTATTTAACAATATATTTTCACTAAATGTATCAAGTTACAGTAAGTGGCCATTTTAAACCATAGAAATTTAGCAATCTAGAGTTCATTTCTTATCCCTATATTTCAAAATCTTTGGTATTTGGTTAGTATGAAAAAGCATGGAAAAATGCTTAGTCATTTGCTTAAAATTTGCACTTAAAGCTAGCAGTGTTGGACGTTATTTTTAAGGTGGTGAGAGAAATTTAAACTAACCTTACTACGAGCAGAGACACATTCTAACGATTTCCCGGCGCTTATCTGACTTGAGATAGCTATTGTTACTACGTTCCGTTACGCGGTCTGGTACAAATCTATCGTTTATGGGCCCCCAATTTGTCTCAGCCTTGAAGGAACATTCGCACTAATCACGGGCGATTTTGATGTTAAAATGTTTACTTCGACTGACATAATACCTGCTAAAAAGTAATTCAAATTGTCTGGTGTATAACATGTTAAAGTGGGGGCACCTCCTTCTACCTGTCGTGCCAAGCAAAGTATTGGGACTGCAATCGTTGTCTAAATCAATGTAGAAATTAATGAAACGGTGCTTCATGCTGATAAAGCTGCGACGCTGATAACGTACGGCAAGGCTTCGCAAATTTTGAATACTCGAAAACTGAAGTAAGATCAAATCAATAAAATTTTCTGCACGGTACGATCACTGTTGGTTGCCGTTAATTTTGTTCATGTTCTTCAGTTTTTGTTTTAGTTTATTTATTAAATCGTGGTGTTATTTACTTTTTCCATTGCCTGTAATATTGACGATACTTCACCAGTTCGAGACTTCTCTTGTACAAGGACAAGTGGAAGATAATACTTTCAATCAAATTTGTGTTTGTATCTTGTGTCGAAATTAGAATAAAGCATCGATGTATTGCGTGGGTGTTATTGACAACTATACTCAGTATCTGGAACAAACCTAGAGAAACGGTGACATTTCCAACAAGGAAAGGTCACCGATTGCATTGGAAATAAGGTAATAAGGAATACATAGGTCGTTTTTATTGCTTTTCTAATTTAGGTGCACAGACGATTATTATCAATAAAACAAAGCATAGAAACTGGCATAGACTACAAGAAATAAAAGCAACATTTGAGCAAACACAAGGTTCTTTTAGTCTATCAAAGGGAAAACATACTTCATTCACGTTCTGAAAAAAATCTCTTTGGTTGAAAAGTTTTGATGCAAACCACGCGTATATGATCATTTTCTGAAAAATTGGCGCTGATAACAGCCACACACTAAAAAAGTTGTCTGTACTTTTTATGCGATATATGTTATCCGAAGTATTTTTGCCTCCTGATCACGAATCCGGTGTCAGAATTGAGCTATCACATACTATGAATTTCCCAACAAAAAAAACAGGTTAAAAATAGCAAAAATTCACGAAAAAGTGCTAAAAAAAATATAAAAATTGTTTTTTCTATATTCAAATATTCATTTATATGGTTAAGACCCCGCCGAACATGAATCCGCGGTCAGAATTTATTATTCTTTTTCTAACCTCAATTTGGTATACCGGGGTTTCCGTGGTCGCTGATCATGAATTCGAGGTCAATTTTGCAAAATTCAAGATGGCGGATTCAAGATGGCCGACCAAATTAAAAAAGTAACACATTCGCGCCAAATTTAGTATACGGGGGTTTTCGGGACCACTGATCACGAATCCCTGATCGTATTTACAAAATTCGTTTTTAGAAATTTAATTTTCTATGTACTTTATTACCTAAGATTAGGCAGAAAACCCGTGAATAATTTTTTCAGGTTATAAAGTAAAATATTACAAAATCACTAGAATTCGGGACTCGGTCGGATGATCATAACCGTCGCGTCAGCCTTTCGCTACATCGCATCGTACGAAACCAGTAATAACAGCAGTTATTGGCTTCGCGTTTACTTCGTGTATACGTGTTTTAATATTCTAATAATGTCGAACACGCCAAGGGGTGAAAAACGATCTTTCACTGATAAAGTACGAAAATTTATTTATTTTTATTTACGTGTTTATTTATTTGTTTACAACGAATGACTATGACTAGCCGACGAAAGACCCTCTAGTGATCAGCGACCCTGGAAACCCCTGTGTATCAAATTTGGCGCGAATCTGTTATTTTATGAAAATTCGTAATATCTGACCTTAATTGACCCGGTTTTTTTGAGGTTAGAAAAAGAAGCATCAATTCTGACAGCGGATTCACTTTCCGCGGGGTCTTAACCATTTTATAAATGAAGATTTTAATATACAGGGTCGGAAAGTCCCCATGGTTCATCGGCCGTTACATGAGAGCGATAAAGTAAGTCATAGAAATCCGTGCGATAGAGAAAGATGGCTACAATGAAGGCGTCTAATAGTCACCGCCGATTTCACCCTTCCACAAATAAGAAGTGGATCTTATTTTATTATTGAGGTTAGAAAAAGAATAATAAATTCTGACCGCGGATTCATGTTCGGCGGAGTCTTAACCATATAAATGAATATTTGAATATAGAAAAAACAATTTTTATATTTTTCTTAGCACTTTTTCGTGAATTTTTGCTATTTTTAACCTGTTTTTTTTTGTTGGGAAATTCCTTGTATGTGATAGCTCAATTCTGACACCGGATTACAAACAACTTTCTTTGTGTGTGGCTATGTAATTGATGATGGATGATCAGTGAATGAATTTGTATGGAACCTAACACTTTCGAGAAAAATTTCTCCCTTATTCCCAAATTGTGCACCTTTACGATACTACACTGGTGAATCTCTTTAAGTACACAGAGACTCGGTCAAATCGGTGTGACCTCTCTTGTAAGTTGAAAAATTAAATTACATTTTTAGAATTATGTTATATTGTAGCTTGTAAGACCTGAAGATGAGGTGAAAAGTGTGACCTCGAAACCGGTAACCTTTATAAAGATAAAGGGATAGTGAGGAATTGGACCCTTTTTTCTTATTTCTAAAATAAGTTATAATTAAATTCCAATTTACAATGATACATTTCATCCTAAAATGAAACAAAAATTATTATTTATTTAATTATGTTTTTTTACTATTAGCGCTTCTTGTTCACTTTTACTTTATTTAAAAGTTGTTAACCTAATTCAAATCAAACTTAAACATTTTCCTAAAATTGTCATTAGATATCATCATGGGCGTAGCTAGGATTTTTGCTAGCTAGATATTTCAAAACCTAAACACTTTTTGGTTTGACCCTCACAATTATAGAGGGGGCGTGGTCCTACCCTGTCCTCCCTGGCTACGCCCATGGATATCATTATCTAGCAATGCTAAAGCTTGCGTTTTGTAGTGACTTCAGTAAGTACTAATCACTAAACTAGTTCAAATTAAGTCTAAAAATTAGTTTAAAGTTATCATCTAATGAAATCATATTTGCTCTTTGAAACCAGGTCCAAGTACAGTGACTATACAAGACAGTGGTGACAATATCAGTGTATCATTTTTAATTGGTCCACGTGATTTTAGCTGCCATGTTGCATCCAGTGTCAAATTCATCTGTGATGTGTCATGTGTCAGGAGCATTCTTATGGTGTTATTCAATATTTGTATTGTTTTATTTTAATTTTGGCGATTATTAGTGATGCTATACTGGGTATTCTGTGCTAAGGGATAGTTATAATGCTTGCAGAAGCTCCTATAAGGACGACGACCGTGAATTTCTTTCAGGTCTTTTGGACACTATAACAAAAAATATAACACCTACTTAGGAAGTTAAGGTTCCTGCTAACATAGAAGGACCAAAATTTAATCTTAGTTTTAGTGAATTAAATTCTCATTATAACGTGTGCGGATATATTGTTCAAAGTATTGTTAAAACATCAAAAACTTGTACAAACTGTGTACACGCTCTTAGTTCTAAAACGCCAATTTATAAAACATATTCAAAGTTTAGCGTACTTAAGATATTTAGAGAACATGCACTCTTTTTTGTAATGAAGTGGTATTTTGTTTCTTCTTGCAGATGAAAAGTGTTTTACAACATTTTTTGCGATTGTATCTTGACAAAACATAAATTTAAAAGTTTTTTTTTAAAGAAATGTCTGGTTTAAATTTAGATCTACCAAATTGTCATCAGATCAAATATATTATTGTTAAAAGATTTATTATCTTCCGATTAAACATAGCTTCCAAAAAATGCCAAAAAGCATAAAAAAGCTTGCAAGTAAAAGTGTTGTTGGACATTTATTGTAACGAATACTATCATTAGTATTAATTATTTATTTTTGTAATATAAACTCAATAAATTTCATTGTGTAATGTAGGTAAGCTTAATTATTTTACTTGTCTAGAAAATAAAAACCAATAGTTGCTACTATTATATATTTGTCCTCCCCTATTGCACAAGTAGATTCTACATTAATTCATTATTTAAAATCACTTTCCAAGGGAAACTTTGGGAAGGGAATCCTTGGAAAGGGACTTTCCAAGGATTTGCTTAAAATCTGTGCGTAAAATTTATAAGAAAATTACTCTTGTCTTTAATTTATTTTTTATAAAAGTTACTTTTAATTTGACATTGGATGCAACATGGCGGATGGGCGGGGTTTAGTCGCTATTGTCGCCACTGTCTTGTATAGAGCCTAGTGATGGGCATAATCGACCAATTTTGATAATCGAGTTATCGGTAATCGAGTACTTCTAATAATCGAGTGATCACTCGAGATACGAGATATTGGTCGTTTTCATCCCAGCGGCGCACAAATATGTTTGTACATATTAGTCATATATTACTTATAAGCGTAGCTAAAAAAAAAAGCTCACGCACTTCAAAACCTAACCACTTTTTCGTTTTATTCTAAAAAAAGGTTACGCAATCAGTGTCTATTGCAGTATGCACTAACATTTTGGGGTGCAACCGTAGGCTAATAATCACTCGAGTGGTGGGAGTAAACATCTCGAGATATCTCGAGTGATCTCAATAATCGAGTACCACTCGAATTTTCACTCGAAATCTCCCATCACTAATAGAGCCACTGTAGGTCCAAGTATGCTAAAAGGCAGTTGCATTATTTAATTATTTCAATGCATTAGGTATGTGCAGATAAGACATAACCTACGAAGTATATACCGTATCTTAAATATCGATGCTACTTAATATCGACTGGCATTGGTAGATACATCCAAATAGCTTAAATCTTTCATCGGTTGTCTTACCTATGACTCACTGATGAGATCTAACAAGTCATGTAGCCCGCAGATCAGTACCTTCTCAAAATATCATTAAATAACAACAGTAGGTAGTATTTTTTGCCATTAACAATATTTGAGTAGATTATTTTTATTTTTTAGATAACTATTAATTAATATGGTCTAGATATATGTTTGGTAGATATTTAGGGTTTAATTTAATGTTGTGCTGTCTGAATTAAACCTTAACTG